GTGGTAAATTACCATTGCTTCATTTGCGGTTCCTCCGATTCTCTCCAGCTCTGAGCTGGAGAATCTGGAGGAAGAACACAGATTGCCAGTGAAGGGCTGACATCGCTCCTTCATACACTGGCCATCTGTGTGCTGAGATGATCAGCGGAGAACATGTTCTCCGCTGATCATCTCTATTTCTAAACCACAAATGATTGGAGATCAGCAACGATCCTCAGGATCGCTGCTGATCTCTGTTTCATAAAAGGACACCTATGTTCTCTATATTTGAATCTGCTGTTTGCAAAGGTTATATTTATTGACTAACTTCTTTCATCTCCAAATTAAACATATTGCATACAACCATACTTTAGTCACATAAACACAACTAAAATGCCAGTGCGTTCCCTAATTGTATCCACACACTTTTATAATACTCTCATGTGCGTCCTGTCAACAGATTGGCACCACTCCAAAACACAGTGAACTCACAGCTGCTCAACACATCCTTTCTCACTCCTAAAATGCTGCTCCTCTCTGTCCCGTTCCTCCAGTCCTCCTTTGGCTGTAAATCATGCAGAAAATTCAGTTCTAAACTATAAAGTATCTCTTGCACAGGCCTTTATCTGAAATTTCCTTCTTTTCTTTTGTCATTTTCCAGCCCTCAAACATCAAAACATACCCTTAAATCCTCATGCACACTGACTTTTTTACACAGCGGCTGTTTTTTGGATTTTTGACATTTTTTTCTACAGTCAATAAACTCCCCAACATGTTATACCTAATGTGTCCATTAGAGATGAGCGAAGTATTCAAAAATTCGATTCGACTGATTCGGCGAATTCGTGAAAAAATTTTCGATTCGAGTCGAATATATTCGCTGCGAATTTAACTTAAAAAGGGTGTTTCTAGCTCAGAGAGCCTTTATATTAGTGCAGAACACTGTACCTTTAATTTAAATGCCCTTGGAGTCTGCTGGGGAAGAGAAATAATACTGTCAGTCAGTATGACATGCAGAGATGATGAGTGCCGTCGATCTTAGAATCACCGCACACTTCACTCATTTGGCAGTCACGGGGCCAAAACCAGAGTGTGGAGCCACAGTGAGGCGGTGGAGGCAGCAGCAATGGGAGGCCATACAGCACCCTATGACAAAAATGGAAACCACCAGCAGTGTGAAGAGACCTGAAAGTGGCACATGGCAGAGTGTGGCGATGGAGACAGCAGCAATGGGAGGCCGTACAGGGACCCATGACACACTCTGGACCTGGCAGCAGCATGAGGAGGCGGTACAGGGGCCCATGACAGATTACGGGCCTGGCAGCAGCAGAGAGCGGTACGGGGCCCCATGGCAGAGGGGCCTGGCAGCAAGCGAATAGGAGGCCCGTATTCTGTGCCAGGGACCCTATGACAAAATGGAACACACCAGCATGAGTGTGAGGGGACCTGAAAGTGCAAGCACATGGCAGAGTGTGGCGATGGAGACAGCAGCAATGGGAGCGGAATTATGAGGCCGTACAGGGACCCATGACAGACTCTGGACCTGGCAGCAGCATGAGGAGGCAGTACGGGGCCCATGGCAGATTAGGGGCCTGGCAGCAGCAATGGGAGGCCCGTAATCTGCCAGCACCCTATGACAAAAAATGGAACACACCAGCAGTGTGAGGAGACCGAAGAAAGTGGCACATGGCAGAGTGTGGCGATGGAGACAGCAGCAATGGGAGGCCGTACAGGGACCCATGAGAGACTCTGGACCTGGCAGCAGCATGAGGAGGCGGTATAGGGGCCCATGGCAGATTAGGGGCCTGGCAGCAGCTATGGGAGGCCCGTAATCTGCCAGCACCCTATGACAAAAAATGAAACACACCAGCAGTGTGAGGAGACCTGAAAGTGGCACATGTTTGAGGCATGATTCATGGCGGATTTAGTCAGTTGTGTCAGGAACTGGCCTGGTTTGAAATCCAGACTAATCCACCCGCCTGATTCATTTTGAGTCTCTCCACAGGTGGACAGTCGTGTCCTCATGGCAGATTAGGGGGCCTGGCACTAAGCTATCCGAGGCCCGTATCTGGCCGGGCATGACACCCTATGACAAATGCAAATTCAGTGAGTTGGGGCCAAAGGTCATAGTTTTCATTGCCCATGGTAGTCAAGTGGGGGATTGTCTACCTCAGTTGGGAGGGTGCTGTCCAAGTAGGCCCAACAGGGGCCCATGTTGTTTGAGTCCTGCTGGCAGGTCCACCTGATGCTGCTGCTGCTGCACCCTGGTTAGTAGTTTCCTCACTGCAGCTGGTGAGAAAGCTAGTGGCACATCGACTGGCAGACTGAGGCAGCCTGCTGCTGGTGGAGCTACCACTGCTACTACCACCCCACCCCACCCCTCTGGCCATGGCAGCGGCACGCGAGCGGCACAGGGCCCACAGTGGTCTGAGATGGACGTTGGCGCAGAAAGGCAGACCACTGACTACATAGGTGGTTTTTATAGTACGTTATTTTGGCCTCCCTCTCAGCAGGTGACAAAAAAGGCCACCATTTTTGAACGGTAGCGAGGGTCCAACAAGGTGGACAGCCAAAATTTCATCCCTCTGTCTGATGGTTATTATTCGGCTGTCGCTACGCAAGCAACCGAGCATGCTATGGGCCATTTGTGCCAAGGAATGCGAGGGACTCCCTGTCCATCTCCACAGCATACTGCCACGGTGCGTCTGGGTCCTCTGTCTCTCTTCCTCCTCCTCTACCAGATGCTCCTGCTCCTCCACTCCTGTCCGCTGAGTGGAAAAACCACCCATTTCACTCAATAATTCCTGAGCACCAATGTCCTCCTCTACCTCCTCCTCTTCTTCCTGTCCTGCCCCCACAGGGTCATGTGGCGTTGAGATCTGTGCGCCACGTCTACCGCACCCTGACCAGCCATTGTTAACAGCATTTGTTCCAGGACGTGCAACAGAGGAATGACGTGTTCATCCCATAGTCCTGCCGACTCACGAATAGCGTGGCCTCCTCAAAGGGCCTGAGCAAGCGCAGGTGTCATGCATGAGCTGCCAATGGCTGACATCTAAGTTACACAGGGAGTACCTTTATCCGCTTTTAACATCAGGAAATCTGTGATGGCCTTTTGCTGTTCGTAAAGGCGGTCTAACATATGTAGGGTTGAATTCCACCTTGTTGCAACGTCACAGCATGAGGAGTCGGTACGGGGGCCCATGGCAGATTACGGGCCTGGCAGCAGCGGAGGCCCGTAATCTGCCAGCACCCTATGTCAAAAAATTGAACACACCAGCAGTGTGTGAGGAGACCTGAAAGTGGCACATGGCAGAGTGTGGCGATGGAGACAGCAGCAATGGGAGGCCGTACAGGGACCCATGAGAGACTGTGGACCTGGCAGCAGCATGAGGAGGCGGTACAGGGGCCCATGGCAGATTAGGGGCCTGGCAGCAGCTATAGGGGCCCGTAATCTGCCAGCACCCTATGACAAAAAATGGAACACACCAGCAGTGTGAGGAGACCTGAAAGTGGCACATGGCAGGCCGTGAGACACTGTGGACCTGGCAGCAGCATGAGGAGGCGGTATAGGGGCCCATGGCAGATTAGGGGCCTGGCAGCAGCTATGGGAGGCCCGTAATCTGCCAGCACCCTATGTCAAAAAATTGAACACACCAGCAGTGTGAGGAGACCTGAAAGTGGCACATGGCAGAGTGTGGCGATGGAGACACAATGGGAGGCCGTACAGGGACCCATGACAGACTCTGGACCTGGCAGCAGCATGATGAGGAGGGTATAGGGGCCCATGGCAGATTAGGGGCCTGGCAGCAGCTATGGGAGGCCCGTAATCTGCCAGCACCCTATGTCAAAAAATTGAAACACACCAGCAGTGTGAGGAGACCTGAAAGTGGCACATGGCATGAGACACTGTGGACCTGGCAGCAGCATGAGGAGGCGGTACAGGGGCCCATGGCAGATTAGGGGCCTGGCAGCAGCTATGGGAGGCCCGTAATCTGCCAGCACCCTATGTCAAAAAAATCAACACACCAGCAGTGTGAGGAGACCTGAAAGTGGCACATGGCAGTGTGGCGATGGAGACAGCAGCAATGGGAGGCCGTACAGGGACCCATGACAGACTCTGGACTTGGCAGCAGCATGAGGAGGCGGTATAGGGGCCCATGGCAGATTAGGGGCCTGGCAGCAGCTATGGAGGCCCGTAATCTGCCAGCACCCTATGACAAAAAATTGAACACACCAGCATGTGCAACCTGAAAGTGGCACATGCAGAGTGTGGCGACACAGCAGCAATGGAGGGCCGTACAGGGACACATGAGAGAGACACTGTGGACCTGGCAGCAGCATGAGGAGGCGGTACAGGGGCCCATGGCAGATTAGGGGCCTGGCAGCAGCTATGGGAGGCCCGTAATCTGCCAGCACCCTATGTCAAAAAATTGAACACACCAGCAGTGTGTGAGGAGACCTGAAAGTGGCACATGGCAGAGTGTGGCGATGGAGACAGCAGCAATGGGAGGCCGTACAGGGACCCATGAGACAGACTCTGGACTTGGCAGCAGCATGAGGAGGCGGTATAGGGGCCCATGGCAGATTAGGGGCCTGGCAGCAGCTATGGGAGGCCCGTAATCTGCCAGCACCCTATGACAAAAAATGGAACACACCAGCAGTGTGTGAGGAGACCTGAAAGTGGCACATGGCAGAGTGTGGCGATGGAGACAGCAGCAATGGGAGGCCGTACAGGGACCCATGACAGACTCTGGACCTGGCAGCAGCATGAGGAGGCGGTATAGGGGCCCATGGCAGATTAGGGGCCTGGCAGCAGCTATGGAGGCCCGTAATCTAGCACCCTGCCAGCACCCTATGTGGCAAAAAAGTTGGCGAACACACCAGCAGTGTGTGAGGAGACCTGAAAGTGGCACATGGCATGAGACACTGTGGACCTGGCAGCAGCATGAGGAGGCGGTACAGGGGCCCATGGCAGATTAGGGGCCTGGCAGCAGCTATGGGAGGCCCGTAATCTGCCAGCACCCTATGTCAAAAAATTGAACACACCAGCAGTGTGTGAGGAGACCTGAAAGTGGCACATGGCAGAGTGTGGCGATGGAGACAGCAGCAATGGGAGGCCGTACAGGGACCCATGAGAGACTCTGGACCTGGCAGCAGCATGAGGAGGCGGTATAGGGGCCCATGGCAGATTAGGGGCCTGGCAGCGCTATGGGAGGCCCGTAATCTGCCAGCACCCTATATGTCAAAAAATGGAACACACCAGCAGTGTGAGGAGACCTGAAAGTGGCACATGGCATGAGACACTGAGGGACCTGGCAGCAGCATGGAGGAGGCGGTATAGGGGCCCATGGCAGATTAGGGGCCTGGCAGCAGCTATGGGAGGCCCGTAATCTGCCAGCACCCTATGTCAAAAAATTGAAACACACCAGCAGTGTGTGAGGAGACCTGAAAGTGGCACATGGCAGAGTGTGGCGATGGAGACAGCAGCAATGGGAGGCCGTACAGGGACCCATGAGAGACTCTGGACCTGGCAGCAGCAGCATGAGGAGGCGGTATAGGGGCCCATGGCAGATTAGGGGCCTGGCAGCAGCTATGGGAGGCCCGTAATCTGCCAGCACCCTATGACAAAAAATGGAACACACCAGCAGTGTGTGAGGAGACCTGAAAGTGGCACATGGCAGAGTGTGGCGATGGAGACAGCAGCAATGGGAGCCGTACAGGGACCCATGACAGACTCTGGACCTGGCAGCAGCATGAGGAGGCGGTATAGGGGCCCATGGCAGATTAGGGGCCTGGCAGCAGCTATGGGAGGCCCGTAATCTGCCAGCACCCTATGTCAAAAAATTGAACACACCAGCAGTGTGAGGAGACCTGAAAGTGGCACATGGCATGAGACACTGTGGACCTGGCAGCAGCATGAGGAGGGGTATAGGGGCCCATGGCAGATTAGGGGCCTGGCAGCAGCTATGGGAGGCCCGTAATCTGCCAGCACCCTATGTCAAAAAATTGAACACACACCAGCAGTGTGTGAGGAGACCTGAAAGTGGCACATGGCAGAGTGTGGCGATGGAGACAGCAGCAATGGGAGGCCGTACAGGGACCCATGAGAGACTCTGGACTTGGCAGCAGCATGAGGAGGCGGTATAGGGGCCCATGGCAGATTAGGGGCCTGGCAGCAGCTATGGGAGGCCGTAATCTGCCAGCACCCTATGACAAAAAATGGAACACACCAGCAGTGTGAGGAGACCTGAAAGTGGCACATGGCAGAGTGTGGCGATGGAGACAGCAGCAATGGGAGGCCGTACAGGGACCCATGACAGACTCTGGACTTGGCAGCAGCATGAGGAGGCGGTATAGGGGCCCATGGCAGATTAGGGGCCTGGCAGCAGCTATGGGAGGCCCGTAATCTGCCAGCACCCTATGTCAAAAAATTGAACACACCAGCAGTGTGAGGAGACCTGAAAGTGGCACATGGCAGAGTGTGGCGATGAGACAGCAGCAATGGGAGGCCGTACAGGGACCCATGAGACTCTGGCTGGCAGCAGCATGAGGAGGCGGTACAGGGGCCCATGGCAGATTAGGGGCCTGGCAGCAGCTATGGGAGGCCCGTAATCTGCCAGCACCCTATGACAAAAATTGAACACACCAGCAGTGTGTGAGGAGACCTGAAAGTGGCACATGGCAGAGTGTGGCGATGGAGACAGCAGCAATGGGATGGGCCGTACAGGGACCCATGAGAGACTCTGGACTTGGCAGCAGCATGAGGAGGCGGTATAGGGGCCCATGGCAGATTAGGGGCCTGGCAGCAGCTATGGGAGGCCCGTAATCTGCCAGCACCCTATGTCAAAAAATTGAACACACCAGCAGTGTGTGAGGAGACCTGAAAGTGGCACATGGCAGAGTGTGGCGATGGAGACAGCAGCAATGGGAGGCCGTACAGGGACCCATGACAGACTCTGGACTGGCAGCAGCATGAGGAGGCGGTATAGGGGCCCATGGCAGATTAGGGGCCTGGCAGCAGCTATGGGAGGCCCGTAATCTGCCAGCACCCTATGTCAAAAAATTGAACACACCAGCAGTGTGAGGAGACCTGAAAGTGGCACATGGCACATGGCGATGAGACAATGGGAGGCCGTACAGGGTGAGAGACTCTGGACCTGGCAGCAGCATGAGGAGGCGGTATAGGGGCCCATGGCAGATTAGGGGCCTGGCAGCAGCTATGGGAGGCCCGTAATCTGCCAGCACCCTATGTCAAAAAATTGAACACACCAGCAGTGTGAGGAGACCTGAAAGTGGCACATGGCAGAGTGTGGCGATGGAGACAGCAGCAATGGGAGGCCGTACAGGGACCCATGAGAGACTCTGGACTGGCAGCAGCATGAGGAGGCGGGTATAGGGGCCCATGGCAGATTAGGGGCCTGGCAGCAGCTATGGGAGGCCCGTAATCTGCCAGCACCCTATGACAAAAAAATGGAACACACCAGCAGTGTGTGAGGAGACCTGAAAGTGGCACATGGCAGAGTGTGGCGATGGAGACAGCAGCAATGGGAGGCCGTACAGGGACCCATGACAGACTCTGGACTTGGCAGCAGCATGAGGAGGCGGTATAGGGCCCATGGCAGATTAGGGGCCTGGCAGCAGCTATGGGAGGCCCGTAATCTGCCAGCACCCTATGTCAAAAAATGAACACACCAGCAGTGTGAGGAGACCTGAAAGTGGCACATGGCATGAGACAACTGTGGACCTGGAGCAGCATGCATGAGGAGGCGGTACAGGGGCCCATGGCAGATTAGGGGCCTGGCAGCAGCTATGGGAGGCCCGTAATCTGCCAGCACACCCTATGTCAAAAAATGGAACACACCAGCAGTGTGTGTGAGGAGACCTGAAAGTGGCACATGGCAGAGTGTGGCGATGGAGACAGCAGCAATGGGAGGCCGTACAGGGACCCATGACAGACTCTGGACCTGGCAGCAGCATGAGGAGGCGGTATAGGGGCCCATGGCAGATTAGGGGCCTGGCAGCAGCTATGGGAGGCCCGTAATCTGCCAGCACCCTATGTCAAAAAATTGAACACACCAGCAGTGTGACCTGAGACCTGAAAGTGGCACATGGCACCCATGAGAGACTCTGGACCTGGCAGCAGCATGAGGAGGCGGTATAGGGGCCCATGGCAGATTAGGGGCCTGGCAGCAGCTATGGGAGGCCCGTAATCTGCCAGCACCCTATGTCAAAAAATTGAACACACCAGCAGTGTGAGGAGACCTGAAAGTGGCACATGGCAGAGTGGCGATGGAGACAGCAGCAATGGGAGGCCGTGGACCCTGGCAGCAGCAGCATGAGGAGGCGGTATAGGGGCCCATGGCAGATTAGGGGCCTGGCAGCAGCTATGGGAGGCCCGTAATCTGCCAGCACCCTATGTCAAAAAATGGAACACACCAGCAGTGTGAGGAGACCTGAAAGTGGCACATGGCAGAGTGTGGCGATGGAGACAGCAGCAATGGGAGGCCGTACAGGGACCCATGACAGACTCTGGACCTGGCAGCAGCATGAGGAGGCGGTATAGGGGCCCATGGCAGATTAGGGGCCTGGCAGCAGCTATGGGAGGCCCGTAATCTGCCAGCACCCTATGACAAAAAATGGAACACACCAGCAGTGTGAGGAGACCTGAAAGTGGCACATGGCAGGGGCATGATTCATGGCGGATTTAGTCAGTTGTGTCAGGAACTGGTGGTTTGAAATCCAGACTAATCCACGCCTGATTCATTTTCACAAACGTGAGTCTCTCCACACACTTTGGGTGGACAGTCGTGTCCTCCGCGGAGGAGTTACAATACCTCCTGCCGCACTAAACACGCGCTCCGATGCCACGCTACTGGCCGGGCATGACAGCCTTTCAAGGGCAAATTCAGCTAGTTGGGGCCAAAGGTCAAGTTTCGTTGCCCAGTAGTCAAGGGGATTGTCTACCTCGGTTGGCAGGGTGCTGTCCAAGTAGGCCCAAGCCTGTTGTTTGAGGTCCTGCTCCAGGTCCACCTGATGCTGCTGCTGCTGCTGCTGGCTGGTTAGTAGTTTTTCCTCACTGCGCTGGTGAAAAAGCTACTCATCATCGACTGCAGACTGAGGCAGCCGCTGCTGGTGGAGCTACCACTGCTCCTACCACCTACCACCCCCCCCTCCCCTGCTGCCATGGCAGCGGAACGCGAGCGCACAGGGCCCACAGTGTCTGAGGATGGACGTTGGCGCACAAAGGCAGAGACCAACTGACTACATAGGTGTTTTTTATAGTACGTTATTTTGGCCCTCCCTCTCAGCAGGTGTGAAAAAGGCCACCATTTTTGAACGGTAGCGAGGGTCCAACAAGGTGGACAGCCAAAAGTCATCCCTCTCTGTCTGATGGTTATTATTCGGCTGTCGCTACGCAAGCAACCGAGCATGCTATGGGCCATTTGTGCCAAGGAATGCGAGGGACTCCCTGCCTCCATCTCCACAGCATACTGCCACGGTGCGTCTGGGTCCTCTGTCTCCTCCTCCTCCTCCTCTACCAGATGCTCCTGCTCCTCCACTCCTGTCCGCTGAGTGGAAAAACCACCCATTTCACTCAATAATTCCTGAGCACAAATGTCCTCCTCTACCCTCCTCCTCTTCTTCCTGTCCTGCCCCCACAGGGGTCATGTGGCGTTGAGATCTGTGCGCCACGTCTACCGCACCCTGACCAGCCATTGTTAACAGCATTTGTTCCAGGACGTGCAACAGAGGAATGACGTCGTTCATTCATCCCATAGTCCTGCCGACTCACGAATAGCGTGGCCTCCTCAAAGGGCCTGAGCAAGCGGCAGGTGTCACGCATGAGCTGCCAATGGCTGACATCGAAGTTACACAGGGGAGTACCTTTATCCGCTTGTAACATCAGGAAATCGGTGATGGCCTTTCGCTGTTCGTAAAGGCGGTCTAACATGTGTAGGGTTGAATTCCACCTTGTTGCAACGTCGCAGATCAGGCGATGCTGTGGAATTCCGTTCTGCCGCTGCCGCTGCAGCTCAAGGAGGGTGTGCTTTGCGGTGTAGGAATGGAATGGCTGAAATGCATGCAAAGTTTACGTGACATTTTAAGGATGTCTTGCAGTGGGATGGTGGATTTTAGGAACCGCTTGACAACCAGATTGAACACGTGAGCCATGCATGGCGCATGGCACAACCTTCCTTGACGCAGAGCAGACACCATGTTCTTTCCGTTGTCGGTCAACATGGTTCCGATTTTCAGTTTGCGCGGAGACAGCCATCTGTCGATTTCTCTGTTCATTACACTGAGAAGTTCCTCCCCTGTGTGACTACGTTCGCCAAGGCATACCAGGTGCAGCACAGCGTGACACCGTTGCGCCCTGCACATGTGATATGCCGGTCGGGTAATGGGACTTGGCACGGGGGTGGCGGCTGAGGACACGAAGGAAGAAGAGGTGGTAGAGGCGGACATCTTTTGTGGACCAAGGACGTGCAAACGTGGAGGCAAAAGCGGCGTGACCTGTCCAAGTTGCTGGTGCGGCTGTGACGGCACCACGTTCACCCAGTGGGCCGTAAATGACATGTACTGTCCCTGACCGTAGTTACAGCTCCACACGTCGGCGCTGCCGTGCACTTTGGCAGAGACCGACATGCTCAAAGACTGGCCCACCATCTCTTCTACATGTGAATGCAGGGCTGGCACTGCCTTTTTGGCGAAGAAATGACGGCTTGGCACTCTCCACCGCGGCGCGGCACAAGCCATCATTTCTCGAAAAGGTGCTGCTGAGTCCACCACTTGGAAAGGGAGGGACTGCAGCACCAGCAACTTGGACAGGAGGACGTTCAGCTTTTGCACCGTCGGGTGCGTGCTCGCAAACTGTTGTCTCTTGGAAACGGATTCCAAGAAAGACTGCTGACGGAATCCGTGAAGAGGAGTAGCAGGAGAAGGAGCATCTGAACGAGCGGAAGATGCAACGAGCGACAACTCCCCTCAGCAGAGGTGTTGGAGCCTTGACTGGCTGATAGAGGGCGATTGACGTCGGGTGACGGAGCAAGTAACGGAGCGGGTGATGGAGCGGGGGCTGGGGCGGGCAGAACCGCCGTATCTTTATCACGGTTTTCCCAGGCCACCAAATGGCGACGCTGCATATGCTGCCGCAACGCTGTAGTCCCAACATGGGCCCCCTGGCCACGCTTGACTTTCTGGCCACATAGTCGACATACGGCTACGTTTACTTCCTCGGGCGGCTTGACAAAAAATTGCCACACCGAGTACGAGCTTGCCGAAACTTTGCCCCCGCCGAGTAGGAAACCATACTCCTCACTGCTGACACCTCACTGGCTGACTG